TTCAAACAATATAAATTAAAATCTATCATTTATCTAATTATCATATTAGCTTATGTCTTTTTTAATAATTTGTATATAAAAAAAAGATTCTGATAACAATTATTCAAATATTTTCACTTTATCAAATCACTTTTTTTTCAAAATCTATTCTCAAAATCTATTCTTCCAAAATCTATTCACAGAATCTATTATCACAAAAAGCTATTCTCCAGAAACTATTCTTGAAACCATGGTTTGAGTTTATCCAAATAGCCCCTTAATGTATTTTTTAGTATGTGAAAATGTATCTCAAATAGCTTATATTAAGGGTATACCTTGCTCCAAGGCAACAAGACTGGAAGCTTTTATAATTAAGGGCCTGCGTCATAACAGTGTCTCCTGCAAATGTGCCGTGGGAGGGGAAAAGAGGGGTTCTCAGTCATTTATTTAACACTCATGGAGAGATTTTCTCTCCGAAAATGTGCTCTACTCATTTTTTAATATAAAATAAAAATTCTTATACCTGATTTTTAATATAAGAGTTAATTAACTAATTTAAATATATTAAAGAAGTTTATTGAAATTAGTTATTTGTACCAAATAGGTATTGTCTTTCTTAGAATACTCTTATTAATCATTTGTATTAGCTAAAACTATTTTTTGGTAGAATTTTTATCATGTGCAATTACTACAAGAACTATTTGAAAAAATGGTTAGATGTGAGATACAAAGTAGATGAAAATTTTATATTTATGACTAAATTAAAAATCAAATTAACTCTTATATTAAAAATAGAGATAATACATTGCTTCAAGCGTTTGAATTAGAAAGCACATGGGAGACGCTCTGTGCATGTAACTATCAACTTGCAAGCCAATCATTATGTACTACACTCCACGATCTGATATTTTTGTAGGATTATTCTTAAGATTTCATATTTTCAGTAATATCTACGATTATATTAAAATAATATAATTTAATTAAAAATAACAAAATATAACAAATTACTAATCACTAGTACCAAAATATAAGAAAATATAATAATTTGATTGTAATAATACAAAGTACAACAACATTAAGAATTTGATCTTTATAATTCATCAATAACTAAAATTAATAATCATTTATACCAAAATTATTATTAAAATTCATTCAAATCTATAGTGATTGAAATATTAGGAGCTCAATAAGAAAAAATGATACCAATAACAATATAATCATTCAAACTAGTTCATCACCAGTTCACACATGTTTTTTATTATTTCACTCTGATTTAATTGGTTCAATATCGGTTTAATTCACAAACCAACTGGATTACTAGGAGGGTGGTTGTGGTTTTTTCCCCTTACCTTTTAAATGAAAGGCCATAAACGAAAGTTGCATATGGAGAGAGATAACTTCTTCTTTTTTTTTTACCAGCAATATGGAGAGAGATAACCACACACAATTACACCTGTTCTATTTAATGTATTTTTTAGTATGTGAAGATGTACTTCAAATAACTTACATTAAGGATATACCTTACTCAAGGTGACAAAACTGGAAGGTTTTTTAATTAATGGCCTGCGTCATAACAGTGTCTCTTGCAAATGTGCCGTGGGAGGGGAAAAAGGGTATCTCAATCATTTATTTAACACTCATGGAAAGATTTTCTCCCTGAAAATATGTCTACTAATTTTTTAATATAAAATAAAAATTCTTATACTTCGGTCTTTAATATAAACATTAGTTTACTAATTTAAATATATTTAAAAAGTTTGTTTATTTGTAATAAATAGGTATTGTCTTTTTTAGAATACTCTTGCTAATCATTTGTATTAGTTAAAACTATTATTTGATTAAATTTTTAATATGTGTAACTACTACAAGAATTATTTTAAAAAATAGTTAATATAAGAGACAAAAGAGATTGAGATTTTATATTTATAACCAAATTAAAATTCAAACTAACTCTCTTTTTTTTGGATAGAACTAACTCTTATCTTAAATACGTGATACATTGCTTCAAGCATTTGAATTAGAAAGCACATGGGAGGCACTCTTTACAAGTAACTACTAACTTGCAAGTAGGGGTGGAAGTAAGCTAGGTGACTTGTCAGGGGTCTATGGCCTAGCCTACATTTGGCCTGACCTGTTTTTCAAAAAAGGCAAGCTCAGGACTGTTTGAAGGCCTGTTTAACTAAACAGGCCAGGCTTATACTCTCTAAAAAACCTGTTAAGCCTGTTAGACCAGCTTGGGTCTATTAGAAATTTATAATTATAATATATGAAAAAAAACTAGTTAATAGTACTATTATTAATGTGCTCTTTTAATTTATTTTTAAATTTTAATATATAATTAATAGCTTAATCATTCCTTAGATTTTGAAGTTTAGTTGACAAGTGAAAATAAAAATATAATTTAAAATAATAATATCAATAGATAATGCGATCTTTAAATCTAAAAAATATAAATAAAATAGGAAAGAAAAATTTTGTTCTAAGAATGATAAATTAATTAACTTATGTATTATGTAATTAAATTATGATACCTTTTTTATTCATTGTAAAATTAATAGTTTTTTCTCTTTATTTATTTGTCTTAATTTTAACTTTTTTGTGTGTCTTTAAATGTAGTCTTGTTCCAAATTTTAACATACAATTACAACTAGTTTTCAATAATATCCTTGCAAATTGTAATTAAGATTTAAAATAGTACTTATGTTACTAAAATTTAAATAAAAGGCAAGACTAAAAAAATTAATTATTATGTACTCTTTTTTTAATCTTAGCTTTTTTTAAAAAAAATATAATTATAATTTGAATTTTTAAAAAATATAAGCTTTTTAACAAGTTTCAGACCAAGTCAGGCTTTATGCAGGCCAAGTTGAGGCTGAAAAATAAGATTGTGACAAGCCACAGGCCAGGCTCTGACCAATAGGCTACAAAACAGACCCGGCCTATTAAGAGCAAGACCTAACCTGGTCTGTTTCCACCTTTACTTGCAGGCCAATCATTACGTACTACACCCCATGATCTGATCTTTTTGTAGGATTATTCTAAGATTTCATATTTTCAGCAATATCTACGTATTAATTGATATTATCTAAATAATGTAAATAGTGAATACATATGGTTTAAGTTAATATGTTAAAATTATAGTTATATTATTTGTTTAATCTACTTAAATTTGTCAACTAGCTATTATAATAAGAACTGAAGGTATTATAAGAACTAGTTGAATAATTTGAGTAAATTAAGAAAATTACTTAAGTTAGTTATTTGTAATAAATATGTGTTGTTTTTCTTAAAATACCCTTGCTAATTATGCATATTAGCTACAATTACCATTTGATGAAACATTTAAGACCAAATTGAATATGAGAGACAAAGTGGATTGAGGTCTTATATTTAGGATCAAATTGAATATCAAACTCTTATATTAAGAACCGGAGATAATATATTATATTTAATTGAGATAGTATCTTATATTTAATTAATTGACATTTCTACCCATCCCTGTATAAAAAAAAGTTTCCATCACTAGGCATTGAATTTTTTAAGGGTGTTTAACTATGTCATGTCCCTGTCCCAGTCATTTTGGGACAGGACAGTCCCGTCCCGAAAGTCTTTGGGACGGGACGAAAGTAGGACAGGACAAAATTGTTTTGAGACGGGATGGGAAGTTCTGATATATTATCTTTATTTTTAGTTCTTATATATTTAGTTTATTTACCACCGTAATAGTATTTTGGTAATGATATTAATCAATTGTTATTTTTTATTTGTTTATAAGTTGTTTTTGTATGTGTTACATCTTACATGATATTCTTCTTTTAGTAAATATTTTAGGTTTGTTTATTTTTTTTTGTCTCTTATGATTACAAAAAACATTTTTCTTTGTCATTATTTTGTCATTTTTATCTATTTTCCTCACATATTTTTTATTATAAGTTTTTTACATTTTTTGTATAGTTAGTTTTCAAATTAAAAAAATTTAAAAAAAAAAGAGATGGGACGTCCTTGTCCTGTCCCAGTTATGTTTGTCCCAATTGGGACGGGACACTATTGGGATGAGACGATGGGACGAGATATGGGACGGAAAAGCTATCCCGTCCTAATTATCGGGACGAGACTAGGACGAGCCGTCCTTGTCCCATCCCATGAACACCTTTAGAATTTTGGGACAATTAGGGATAGAGCCCTCATTAGAAAATTAATTGACAAATGATCTCTAGAATGATGGATTGCACAGAGGAAAATAAGTTGTATATAAGTGAAGTTGAGTTGCACACAAGGAAGATGGTTTACACATAATATTATTTGGATACAAAAGATTAGTTTGCATATAAGGATAATAACTTGCACAAAAAGGAAGATGGATTGCACACAAGGGGTATTTAGTTGCCAAAAAAAAAAAGATGTGACGCAAGAAAATATAATTGCACACAAAGAAAGATAGATTGCACATGAAGGAAATTAAGTTGCGCATGGAGAAAGTTCAATTGTATAAAATCCCTAAGTAACATTTACCAATTAAATTTTCAATGAGAAATTTATTCCCAATTTTTTCTTTAATTTTTCAGCTCTCCCTCCTCTACCCGTGTCTTCTGTGGTGCATCCAAACCTAGCAAGGTAGAATGATAATAATGAAGAACATTAATGCAGTTGAAAGTGCAAAAAGAGACCCATATATGAAATAAAAAACGATGCCTTTACCTTTTGAAATTTAAGTATTAATCCTTTTAATCAAATCTTAATTCAAAAATTTAATTTTTTTTTTTTAAAGATAATAATCAGTATACGTTACCACATATATCGAGCAATGTCGATTTATTGGGCCCCCTATACTAATAAGAAACGGAATAAAAGACATTTTATGAAGAAGTAAACCCAAGCCCAGTGTATCAAACAAACTCAAGCCCAGATTGGTTCAATAAGCCCAAATATTATTTTGGGTCGGATATTGGGTCTAATGGAACCGCATCGTGAGGGTTTTCAAGAAATAGCAGAAATCCCTAGCAAGCAGCTTTCATATTTGGTAAGCAGCCGATTTCCCCTTGGCCTTCCTCCTTCGCGCGCAGCAGGCAGTCTCTCGGAGTGACAGAGAAATCATGGGACGCGTTCGTACGAAGACTGTGAAGAAATCGTCTCGACAAGTCATCGAGAAGTACTATTCTCGAATGACTTTGGATTTCCACACTAACAAGAAGATTCTTGAGGAGGTGGCTCTCATCCCTTCCAAGAGGCTCCGTAACAAGATCGCCGGCTTCTCTACTCATCTCATGAAGAGGATCCAGAAGGGTCCTGTTCGTGGCATCTCCCTCAAGCTTCAGGAGGAGGAGCGCGAGCGTCGTATGGATTTTGTTCCTGATGTTTCCGCCATTAAGACTGATCAAATTGAAGTTGACAAGGAGACGCTTGACATGCTTAATGCTCTTGGCATGAATGATATCCCTGGTCTTGTCCAGGTCGAGCCCACGCCTGTGCCGCAGGTGGGATTTGGTCGCGGCGGTTTCGGTGCTAGGAGGTACTGAGTATTAGGTTTATTTGTCATCTACTGCTTAGCTTTGAACTTGGACTTCAATCTCATATTATGGTTTGAATTATGTTTCTGAAATTTTCCAAACTGTTGAGGCAATGGAATGGATTTTGTCTTGCTTTCCAGTTATCCGTGTGGTATCTCAGTCTGATTCATTATCTTTCTCTCTGAATTGATATACATATTTTGCTTGTGGACTTTTTTTATGCTCATGTTAGTTACATCTGCGACTTCAAACGTTGTGGTAATATATTATAAATGAGAAAAGAGGTCAAATTTTCATTTTTCGCGTGTATGGGTTGAGCCTTGTACTAATACGTCGGATTGCAGCTTAGATGATGAGGAAGTTTACCTTTTCAGATGCAACTTTTAATCCTACGCTGGTAAAATAATCCTTCAAGACGCTCTAACCGAAGCATCGATATTCATATAGAGATTCTACACATTTTAATGCCTAACCATATGATTGAAGCCTAACTTAATTACTAAGGACTAGTTGTTACGTAACTGGGTACCAACTGAAGTGTCTGAGCTTGTCAATAGCTTCAATTCCTGATTCTTTGGATTTCCATCCGTCCGACTCTTCACTTGCACTTTTAATGCTCTACATTACAGCGAACAAGCCAATCAAACTCGTTTTGAAGACTCAAATAAGTGCCCAGTGGAAGGTACCAACCTTCCCTAAACTGCAGTTATTCTTCACACTTAAAGTTAAGTTTTTGACTGGTTCATGAAGAAGAAATATTTAGATCCCAATTATGCATTCCACCAAAATTAGGAGTTAATGAATTGACGGGTTATCCTGTTCTCCTTTGTACCTCTTTCTTCCACCAAAACTCGAGCCCAAAATTTTCTCAAGTTCTATAATCTTCAAAACTAGACAATCTAAACCAAATAGGAAACCAATTGGATCAAAGGAAAGGGGAGGAGTATAATTGTACTTTGAACCCTTCGTTTGGCTCCCACCTTTCCTTGGTTTTTGATTGGGTGATTGCTTAAATGTTACAATTGGCTCGGCGAGTTTGTTGGAGCTGGAGAGATTGCTACTGGACTTGGACTTGCTGATTCTAGCATATATTCATCTTTTGCCCATTTGCATGCTTGGAAGCAATGTCATCTATAATGAAATATTGATAAAGTTGAGCACATTTGTATTTGTAAACCGCCTGTAAATTTTTGTGATTGTAGGTCTATGAAAGCTGAAGCTAATCTAAACTTCCTTTCCTTTTAATGGCTCCTTCATATTTGTTCCCAACTTTTTATATTCTCTTTGTCCCATTTGGTAGAAAGTATTAAAAACAAGAGTAGAGATCGGGATTGTCATTGGAAAAATCATTAAAATAGTATTTAATATGACTAATTACTTGTGGTATGGGATTAGACAAACCCATAGAGGTAAGGTTGGAGAATACTACTTTTCCCTATGGTATTCTCTAATCCCACATATATGAGTTTGGCTAATCCCATACAACAAATAATCTCTTATGTTAAATACTCTTTTAATAGATTTTTTCAATTCCAATCCCTATCCTTAATTTCCAATGCTTCCTACCAAACACAACCGAACCAGTCATGAGCATTCTTTGTGGTCAGGGAGATGATCTTAAGAAAATTTTGTGAATAGGAATTTAACCCGTGCCTTTTTCGTGGGGCCATGCATCAGGGAGTGTATGGGACACTCAAAAGTGTTTTTAAAAAACATTTTTTTTCATAAATCTAGACAAATTACTTTATATATTTATTCTGTATGTTGTAAAATTATTTTTAAAATCATGATTTGGCTTTACCTAAACATTTTCAGATTTTAACTTCTACTGTCCAACCATTCTAAAGGGTCGTATTAATTTGTTAAGTAATCGATTCTGATAAGTATAAGATGCTATTATGTGCAACCCTTGCTAACAAAACATGGCTTAGAAAACCCATATCTATCCATAATTTATCCATGGCGTCATGTTGTAAATTTAGCCCGAAAATTTTAAGAATATTACTTTGAAAGTTTTCGTGCATTTAAGGTTGCCTGAAAAAATTAAAATGGGACAATGTGCCTGAAAATATTAAAATGGGACAATGGGGGTTGGAGAGATTAGATAAATATAAGAGACAAATTGAATTAAGCTTATATATTTAGAATTAAATTGAAAATTAAACTAGTTTTCATATTAACTATTATGAGTATAATAATTTAGAGAGGATTGCAAAAAAAAATATCTTTAAAATTTTAAAATCTCAAATCAGTAATGATTACAAAAATATATTATTATTTGTTTTTTAAATGTTATCAATTGTTATTAAAGTGTGGTGAAAATATAGTGAACAAAACTAATTTGAAATTTAAGATTCTTCCTAAAATCTATTGGAAAGTGCATTTTTTTAATTTATCAAAATAAAAAGCGTTATTTTAAAGATATGAATTGCCTCATGGCTCAAGCTCTGTCCGTAGATCGGCCCGCGGTCTATTTGAGTGTCCATTAATAATTTCAGTTTCCTTTAAAATTGATTCAAGTTGTCTAGATTTCGTTGATGGAAGGAAAATGGAAAACGAATGGCAATCAATATCAATGTCACCAATACTAAGAAATTTTGAAATTATAATAAGGTGTGAATATTTTAATTTATTTCGCATTTTATTTTATGGAATGGATAAAAAAGATATGTGCCTAGTTTGTGAAATTTGCTGAACTTCATTTTTTATCCCCCGGGAAAATGACGCATTAAGGGATCCAAATCGTGAGCTACCAAATTACCTTTATGCATTTACTTGTAACATGCCAGCAACTTCTTTTTTTTGGAAAAAAAAAAATTCAGGAACGGAAGCATATTTATTAAGAAGAAATACAAGAGGTCCATCCATCATTTCCTCACAAGATGATGGATGATCAAAAGTACAAAAATTTGAACTAGTTTTTATCATCTCCTTTCTTCATACCTCTTTCCTATCTCATTCTCATCCTTTCGCAGCACCATCCCCACCACCACCCACGACCACCATAGTTGCCATTACTTCCTCCTTCCTCTCAATAGCACCTTTCTATTTTGGGTTGAATGCCTTTTTTCACTGATAAATTAAGCTAGCTAACTCATCCAACCCATTTGAGTTTGATTAAGCTTCCCAACCCACTTAACTAAGACAAGTTATGTGATCAAGACTAATTTTTTTGGTAAACCCCTCCTTAAATTGACTTAGTATACTAGTTCCTATGATTGACTTAATTAAAACTCCATTCCTTGATCTTTGACTCATTGTAATTCATTTCTTATAGTTTTAACCATTGCAATATATAATTAATCATTGGGGTTGAGTTGAATTTAGTTGAAATTTAGAAACCGAGTCAACCAATTCAAAACTCTAGGGATTAAGTTGCATCAAGTTAAAGTTTGGGAACTAAGTTACAATTAACACTACAAGAAAATGTAGGATTAGCAGCGGAACATTTCTAGCGGTTTTTAGAAAAACCGCTGCAAATTACCGACGGTTTGACCATTACCCGTACATTTCTAGCGGTTACCACCTAACCGCTAGAAATTTAGAGCTAGAAAATTTTCCGGGTTTTGGCGGGAACTTGGCGCCAAATTTGTAGCGTTTATTTTCTAGCAGTTCAGGCCAATAAACCGCTAGACACTGAAAATTTCTAGCGGTTGATGCATGAACCGCTAGAAATATTTTTAATTCCCCGAGGAGTTTAGCAATTTCTAGCGGTTTTTACTCGAACTGCTAGAAATATCTGCCAATTCCCGAGGCACTTGTGACCGTTGAGATTTTCTAGCGGTTCTGTCCAAAACCGCTAGAAATTCTCGGTCTATATAAACCCCCCCACTTTCACTTCTTCAATCGTTCTGGAAGCGAAGCTCTGCTGAATTTTCTCCACAGACATATTCGAGTTCTGATTCAGTTGCAGATCCTTATTTTCAGGTAAAAATAGTAATTTATTGATAAATAATTTTTATTTTATGTTTATTTTATTTAATTTATTATGTTGTAGCTTATAAATAATTTTTCTTTTTATTTTATTTATAAATAATTACTATTTGTTGTTATTAGGATGAGTCGTCGGCACGGGAAAGACCCAGTTGATCCTGAGAGAGCTGGACCCAGTGAGGTTCATCATGATGCTGGTGAGCCATTCCCAGCATTCATGACTACGATCTCAGCGAGGAGGATATCCTCAGTTTTATGGAGCAGGATGATGTTGAGCGGACTGAGGAGGCTCATTTTACTGGGGATGAGCAACCCCATGCTGATGCTGATGCTACTGACGAGGAGGAGCAGGAGGAGCAGGATCAGGGGAATGAGTATCCCCAGGCTGCGCAGCGTCCTGCTCCGAGACGTCAGGCTGGTTATGAGGTGGAATTTGTCGGTAAGTATTTATTTAACTTTTTAAAATTTTGATCAGTATTTAATTTATATAGAAATTGTATTAATTTATTGATATATAATTTATTTCTTAATTAATTTTGCAGACACTGAGGGGAACAGGTCCTATCGGAGGCTGACAGCCAGAGAGTTGTCTATGATGACGAGCGGACGAGTGGTTGTGCCGCTCAATGAGTTGGGCCAACCAACGAAGAAAGGTGGCCAGTTGTACAACAAGTACGTGCGCCTCCTTGGTCAGCAGTGGACGCTGTTCCCCATCTACGTGCAGGACTGGAAGAAGATCACCTCAGACAAGAAGCAGCAAGGTTGGGAAATGATGAAGGTAATATAAAATTGTTATTTATAATTTTTTTTAATTTAAATAAATGATTATATATTTTGTTTTCAAATAATTTAATTGTTTGATTATAATTTTTTATTTATTTAATTTGTTTGTTATTTATAATATTTTTAAAAGTAGTTAAATGAATATATATATTTTTATTTAAATTATTTAAAAGTAGTTAAATGAAAATAATTTGTTATTGATTTCATTAATTTATTACTTATAATAATTTTAAATTTAGTTGAGTAAAAATATTTTTTCATTTAAATTACTTAATTGTTTAATTATTATTTGTTTTTGATTAATTTATATTTTATTTATAATATTTTTAAATTAGTTAAAAACTAATTATTTGTTTTTTATTATTGAAATTGCTTAATTATTTGTTTATAATTTGTTATTTAGTTAATTTATTATTTTAATCATAGAGTAAATTTATTCTGGGGGAGGAGTTGAGGGCTGACACGATCAA